AAAAAAAACACATTCAGAGTTCCTATGGTCATGGAAATCCTGGAAAAGTCATGGAAATTGAAAATGTAGTTTTCCAGACCTGGAAAAGTCATACTATCTCTTTGATGTAACTACATTGGTCTGTTAAGTTCTCATTAGGCTATTATATTATTTCCAAACGTCTGCACCTTTTGTTTAAAAGAGACGACAATAAATGCACTGACAGGATTTTGAATGTTAAAAAAACTATAATCCCAAACCATAAGGTGAGTGGAAAGAGTTAACAGTTCATATTTAGTTCTAAAAGTCTGATCAATTCTGCACATGTAGGTGCCGTAAAGTCATGGAAAATTCACTTAAGGTCATGAAAAAGTCATGGAGAAGTTTTAAAATTTTGTCTGTGAAAAAGAGCCTGCACACTGGTCGATCTCTAGTGCATAGGCATAGTGCAGACTGTATGAAAAAAGGATAGGAAAATGTTTCCCCTCGAGTTCTGAATCACACTCAGTATTTTGATAGTTCTGTCCACACCAGGAACTTACTTGGTTCTATTTATTTTATATTTTTTTATGCCTTTAAGCTTTCGAGTATTTAAGTTTCACAGTTTTAAAAGTGTAGTAAAGGGACATTGAAGATCTTATATTATGCAAAATTGACTCTTGTGAGCTTTTAGCCATGTTTTAATATTACCTCATCAAAACCAGACCTGGAGTTGTGTTTTGTTTCGTTCACACATGTTTAAATAAGTCATTATTATTAGTCCGCCTACATTTAAATGTAAATAGTGTGGATAGGCTACACTGAGTTTACACTGAGACAAATCACCGTACCAGAAATGATTTGCATCCAGACACATTGTTTCTGTGTTCGCAAGCCTTTCCTACCCACACAGCTTTGAGCACATTTGTTTACATTTTACAGAAACAAAAACTTAAAACCGCATGACTAATTTGCATAAAGTGAGCGCTCAAAAAACAGCTCGCTATTGTGCGCTGATGCGGTTCAGCTTCTGTCGAACTAAAGGACACGACTCAGTGGAATGTGAGTGTTCTTTCTGTGACAGAGGGGTGTTCTGCTGATGGTGACTCTGTTCTGTGTTTCTGTTGCGCTGGAGATGGTTCATGTTAAACTTTTCAGAGATTATTCGTCTGTAAGTAGTAAGTAGTGTTAGGTAGTAGTAGTAGTAGTAGTAGTAGTAGTATATTGACACATGTTGATACATAATACCAACATGGTAGTTTAATTCCACAATTCTGTATATTAAAAAAAAATACTAATAGATTTAATATTTAAGTTATTTTTATTTTCTTGGCAAAAAAAAAAAAAAACTCAGGTTATGTAGCATATTTTGATGTTAAAGGTGCCTTGTGTCACTTCTCTGGTGGAGCATTCACCATGGAAATGTTCTCGCTTTGTCTGAAATGTTCCACAATATGGCATTAGACCTTTTTATCTTCACGGAGACCAGAATTTGTCTGAAGTTACAGGTCAGATCTGCGAAGAGGCGACCCCGCTCACAGTCAGAATGTTGTTTTTCTAGGTATTTTTCAAGTATAAAACCACTTAATAGTTGAATAAATGTAAGGTAAAGCTGTTTTAATGTCACACTGCGGAACATTCCAGACAAAGCACTGACATCTCCATAGAAACAACCAAAAATATCGCTCTGCATGTGTCGACTTTTGCGGTAAAGTGACTCATTAACATGTACAGTAGTCGTGCCCGGCTCATAACAACAAAGTCTGTCAGTCAGAGTCTGTTCTGTGTTTCTATCGCATTGGAGATGGTTCATGTTAAACTTTTCAGAGATTATTCGTCTGCAGGTCGTACACATAGACCGTATATATGAATGGATATATATTCTAGAGCACAGGTGTCAAACATAAGGCCCAGGGGCCAGATCCGGCCCTCCAAGACCTTTAATCTGGCCCTCGGCTGATTTTCTACTAAAAATATTTTAATTCTATTTTTTATTAAAATATTGTTAATTTTCTGTGGTGTTTATCACAGCAGCGTCTCCAGTGTCTCTGTACGTGGCCCCTCCCACCAGAGCAGCACAAATGAAGACTTGTCTCTTTCCAAACGCTCTTAAAGGACGATCGTTTTGACTGTTGACCGTGACACCCTCATCAGAAAAATGTCCAACATGAGAAAAGTGGAGCCGAGTGCAGGATTTTCTAAGAAAAATTGACTTATTCCTATTTACATACAAGTTCATGTTAAAACTTTGTGTTGAAATTGCATTTTTCTTAAAGTTTCAGGTTGTTCATAATATTATAATATTTTGTAAAAGAAAGAGTTCATCAATTAAAAAAGATTTCTGTAATACATTTGCGTTTCTCTGCACAAATATTTGAACTTATTGTTATTTTTGGGGTTTATATGACATGAGTTTTATGATCCGGCCCCTTTGGGATCAAAGTCGGTTGGATTCGGCCCCCGGACCAAGATGAGTTTGACACCCCTGTTCTAGAGTCTTAGCATTTTGGCGGTGAATTACTTCGCCCTACGTCAGCATATCAGCGTTTTCAGGCGTCCACACAGCGCCGGATCAGATCTGTACTCAGAAGAATTCGTGGGAGCTGGCGGCACCAGATCGTTCCGTCTCTGGAGTCGTTTTCAATCGGATTAGTGTGGACGACCACTGCATCCACAACAAAAACGACTCGGATACAAACTAGTGTGGACGGAGCCATTGAATTGGACTAGTTTTGAATGGATGAAGGACTGCATTAACATACATACATTTATTAATTGGCATGCACGACATTTATGACATCAACCTGTCCAGGGACTGAAGGTGGAAATGATCAAACATATGACCTCTTTGTGTAGCTCAATGTTTTATTTGCATTGTCCCTAATAAATAAACAAATAAACTTAACTAATTTCCAAAATGCAAAATGGTTTCTTCCACTTTTTGATGTCATGTAGTGGTAGTTTTCTTGTATTTTTACATGACATCACAAGGTGGAACAGAGTGTTTTCTGTTTGATAGAAGAACTTAACCACAATATGCAGAGTTTTTGTGTTAAACATGTGAATGAAACAAAACAAAACACAACTCCAGGTCTGTTTTTGATGAGGAAATAACATAAAATAGATCAGAAAATGGCATGTTATGGGTCCTTCAATTATAATTTAAGAGCGTAGGGGGAGACCGCAGTGTCTAGAACAAATTTGTCATACAGTAGAAATTCTAAAATCCGATGCGTCCTAATAATGGGATGAAATGTTTGCTTGAGATATCACTTTGTTTTTGTCTGGTGTCGATAAAACCAGACCAAAAACAAAACAAACAAAAAAACTTTTATTTACACAAATCAGTTGGAGCTGAGGAGGAGTCTAACCTTTGCCACGGGCGCGAGGCCATAGACACGGGTCAACGCGCTGCAGTGAAAGACTATTCCAAAAGAGGAGTTTTTTAATCCGCTAAACAAACTTTTACCAGGACCTTTAACACCGGAGGTTACATATTAGGACACTGTGGGGTATGCTTGAAATGTAATGCTTTGTTTTTATACCACTTTAGACAACACTGTGGTGCGTTTCTACAGTCATGTCCGAGACCCTGTGTCAGTGAAATCAGCGCCTAATGCTGGAATTCTAACTATGAACTATTACCATTCTAGTGTGGTTTCAAATTGACAGAAGGGGTAGGACTATCGGGCAAATCCAACTACAATATTAGAATCAGTTTTGTTGCTATTTTCATTGAACAGAATTCTCAAAAAACTAAAGAACTTGCTTCGGCGTCGTGATGTAAAGTAAAGTAAAATAAAATAAAAATGAGAGCATGCGTTAATATGAGCTACAATTGACAACACAAAGAAGATATGAATGTTTAGTCATAACATTTTTATTGAGCCAAAAACAGAGCACAACTCAAATTGTACAGGATCAATAGCGCTCAATACTTTTTGGTATATAAAGTTAAAATAAAAATAACCGATCTCGATCTCAGGAATCGTTGCCAACACAGAATGTACGGCTCTTCGCTGATTGGCTGGTGCCCGAACTTGCACTTCTGGGGTTTTTACAAGGGTGTCAAACTCCAATTCACAGAAAATTCACCAAAATTAAAAACTGGGATTAAGTCTTGGGTCAAACTAAATATTTGCTGAAAAATTTCAACGACATCTGCATGTTTTCTCTTCTTTCGAGATGTCAGGTTAAACCTTTTCTTATTAAAATAAATGTTTAATAATAGTTTTGCTTAAACATTGAATCCAGAACAAGCAGAATATAAAATAATAACAATATTTTAAATAATGTCTCTATAGTCTATCTGTAGGCGGCGGGCAGCTCTAATACATATTTGATATGATCTTGCGGGCCAAATATAATTATTTCATGGGCCAAATATGAGTTTGACATGTGTGGTCTAGTGTATTTTGATTCTTGACCTAGTCGCTGGAGAGAAACGAAATTGAGCGGAGACACTAGGTGGGGCCAGCCTGGCTAGTATTCCAGACCAGTCGAGACCAGTCTTTTTACAGTCTTGTTCTGGTCTCGGACTTGAAGGCGCTTGGGCTCGGTCTTGTCTCAGTCTCGGGGTCTGAAACTCGACGAGTGATAAAAGATAGATCTATAAAAACAATGATATATATGAGCCAAAATAACTGTAAAATGCAAATAAATGTTGAAACTTTCAAAGGTAGTCTTTGATTTGATTATTTATGGGCTGTGGTTTTGGTCTTGTCTCAGTCTTTAAAAGTCTTGGTCTTGTCCTGGTCTTGACCGTCTGAGGTCTTGGTCTTGCCTGGTCTCGGGATCCTGTGGTCTCGGACTGGTCTTGGTCTCGATTAGTGCGGTTTGGACTACAACAGTAAATACTAGGATTCAGGGAAGGTTCGTTTCTGTCCTGTGAATGTGACTTTTAGTGTCGATACTAGTTTTATTATAGATAAGTATCTGATTTTCTGTCATTGTGTCTCTGGGTTTAGCTAAACTTGGACCTTTACTAAAAACGTCCCGTCTACAATGCTAATCAGCCTGTTTTTTTTTCTTGTGTGTTGCAGAAAACAACAAAGACTCCCAGTACCAGAAGGTGGCGGTGAAGGCGGAGCCCATGGAGGTGGACCCGCCGCCCACAGAGCTGACCCCTCCCGCGCCCCACCTGCTGCCCTTCACCGCTTTGGGGGCGAGCGACAAGACCAACGAGCCAATGAGCAACCTCCCCAAGACGCTGGCCCGCCCCCAAAAGGACCTCTTCTCCCAGGACATATCGGTCAAAATGGCGTCCGAGCTCCTGTTCAAACTGTCAGGTATCACTCAGCCTCTTATTTTCCTTTAATCAGACTCAGACGTATAAGTGAGGTGTATTTACCTTGACATGTTTTGGCTGCTTATTGTGAGCCATTCTCAGAACTGTCACCAGTGCTGTTGGTTCTGAGAATTACAATTCCGTGCATTTTTATACTGATGTTTTCCTGAAAGTTAAACCTCACCACAAAGTACCGTATTTTTTGAACTATAAAGTGCACTGGATTATAAAGTGCAGTATCAATAATGTCGAATTCTCTCGTCTATTTTCATACATAAGGAGCACAGGATTATAAGAAGCATTAAACGAAACAAACGGACGACACTTGAGACTGAACCTTTAGTCCAGGCGTTCACGATCCATTGGCAGATTGTGGCGTAATTCTTGGTGAATGTGGATTATGAATGTGAATGTGGGTGGATAATTTAAATTTTTGTTGTTTTTTTTTATTTCCTACGAGGACAACTCAAATATACATTGAGTAATAATGTGTTCAATGCAGTTTTGCGCACATTTGTTTACATTTTGCAGAAACGAAACTTAAAACCACATGGCTCATTTGCATAAACTATAAGCATTGAAAAAAACTGCTTGCTGGCTGTTACTCCGCGAGGCTCCTGACTACAGTAGCCGTAATACTCCGACAATCTATCAAGAGGTGCGGCTTCGTAGTTTACCAAAGTCGTACTAAAACATTTTGACAGATTTTTGAGCGCCGTGTACCACATAAAATCAAAATTTCGAGGTCAGAAAGCACGACCAGAATGACTTCATATGGCGCACCAGATTACAAGGAGCACTGTTGATTTTTGAGAAAAGTAAAGGATTTTAAGTGCGCCTTGTAGTCCGAAAAATACGGTAATGAAAATGAATAAATTCATGAAATAAACGAGTGGAGACTAGATCCATTTTTCAATCCCCGAGCCCCAAACTAAACGAAACTTAAAAGTCTATTATGCAAAATTGTTGTTAAAATATTACTCAAACAAAAACAGACCTGAATTTGTGTTTTGTTTCATTCACACAGGCTTGAGTAAACCTTTATTATCACTATGTTTACATCTCCAAAACCCAAAATGCTCTGATCCACCTCTTGATGTCGTGGTAATTTTCAAGTTTACAGCTACCTTTTACATTTTGTTTGGTAGATACCCAAAAAATCCAGATTATCCAAATGATTCTAGAGACAGTGTAGGGAATGTTTTATGTTTAAGAGAAGAAGTAAAGCTAAATATGCATGCAGGGTTTGTGTGTTAAACATGTGTGAATGAAACAAAACACAAAAGTAATATTAGCGCTTTAAACTAGACTAAAACTCAAAGGAATTAGTTGAGTAAATCTTGAGTAAAACTGTCATGACGCTCTCCTCGGTGGATCTGCCTGCTCCACAGCTGCAGACTCCCACAGGAAAAGTTGGAACATTGTCATTGTGTCATAGTTCGCGGAGTACTAAACTTATTTTTCCTATTTTAGATGTGCAGAGTGTTCACTTTTACTTTGGGGCCGCACTCTCACTCTCACCAGGCCCACTAATGCAAAAATATAGTTGTCTCCACTCCACTCTCTGTTCCTCACTGACTTCCGCCTTCACTTTACACTTACACAGGACAGGAAGTCTTGTCAAATTATAAGCATGTCTGTCATATTTATTTTTACACTATTGCTTATTTTACCTGTACCAATTAGGGCTGATTTCCTTTCGTCATTTTCTGATTTGATCCGTCAACAGGGACGACAGCTGGAGGCTTACGTAAACGTCCATGTGCACTGTCCCCATTCAAATAAACGCTAAAAGTCTTAGTCAACCCGTTTTTAGTATTTATAATCATGGACAGGGGTGTAACGGTACACAAAAATCACAGTTTGGTTCGTACTTCGGTTTTGACGTCACGGTTCGGTTAATTTTCGGTACAGTATGAGAACAAAATGTAAAACCATTTGTGCGTTTATTAAAGCAACAATTTGTTTTACCATTACACAAATAGGAAAATAAAATAAAGGCAAAGTGCTGCTTGGTAATGCTTATGGATCCGGTCAAGCAGAAGTAAACAACAAGGCCAAAAATTCGAGTTAATGCATCTGATATAAAAATGTATTGAACAGATACATATGTACTCTAGTTTATGAAACTGTTGACCTTTTTTCTGTTCCATTTTTGGTTCTAAAGTTACATACGTTTTAAACAGACCATGTATGAAACATGGAACAAAATTATTTAGACCTTTTTTAAGACCTGCAAATCATGTAAATAAATGGATGTATTTCATCATATCTTGTGTTATTCAATCTTTGAACTGTTGATGAAGGTACATGATTTTTCAAAAAAAATGTATTTAAAATGATAAAAATTTGCTTGGAAGGACTGACATATTTTATAGAAATAGTTTCCTTTCATTTTGAAGTAATATTAAAGTATTCAGAAGAAAAAGTTGACAAATTATGCAAAATCATGCACCTTCTACTTGCTTGCACAATTTTCCCTCCGTTACCATGACCTTTCTTAATAAAAAATCTCATTAGTCAAAAAGTAAGAGGTTTTTCAATCTAATCTTGTACCATATGGTAGAAAACTATATGAAGCAAATATTCAAACCAGTTTGTTAAGGATATGTAAGTGAGAACCAAGAGTTATCACTGTTTGTATTTATTGCCCAAAAAGTGCTGCATATTTCATTCCCTCCGTTACCGACATGAGTTTTTTAAATTTTTTGTCAACAACTTGAAAGAATATCACAGGTTTAACTTTACCCTGTTGGAGTGTAACTCTTTCCTACATTCTGATACTTTACTTATTTCAATAGTCCCTCTAGTTTCTGAATAAGAGACATTTGAATGTAAAAAATCTGCCCCTGTTTCCCTCAGTTACTGCTTGACCAGACCCTAATACGTTAAATAAAATATTCTCAAATAAGCAACAAATATATGAAATATTATTAAACAGTAAACAAAACTTTTCAAAAAATAAAGTGCAGCACTAACAGTTCCAGCATGAAGTTTTACTCAGTCTTCATATATCTGGCCAAAAAAACCCTAAATTGTCCACATTGTTTGCAGTAAGTGCGGATCTGCTGCAGTTACAATGTCCCCAGCGGTTGAAAATAACAGGCGAAAGGCGAGAGTGAGGACCGTGTCGCGACGACCGTAGTTTTGTGAGGATTCACGAGGTTCGGAGGGACGAAGTTAAGATGGTGGGCAATTGTTGTCAAAGCGGCAGCCGTAACTATAAAGCACTGCACTGTGGGAAACACTGCCTCAATCACGGACAAGTTCCTTCGTGAATATTGAAGAGCCGAGTCTTTCGTGTACCTGCACATGTAGTGGTGGAATGTAAAACACACAAATTAAACGAATTCACTCGCACCAAACTGAACGTCCCTTACTGAAGCGGTTCGGCGTGAATACATGTACCCAAAACCCAAACCCAAAACATGCCACAGGTCTCCAGGAAGAACAGTTGATAGCTAAGGTCAATTAAATACAATCAATCAAAGAACCTGCCCAGGGACTAGAGGTGGAAATTAGCACTGGTGCTACAACCTGGAACAATGCATCTCTCCTGTTAAGGTTAATGTATATTGTGCACTGTCCCTGTCTCAATAAATAAATAAATAAATAAAAATTAAATAATAAAAAAATAAATAAAATAATAAAAAATAAAAATTAAATAATAAAAAATAAAATTAAATAAATAAAATAAAAATATATAAATAAAATATACAATAAAATAAAAAATAAAATAAAATAAAAAAGTTACACCCCTAATAACAGATCAGTTCTATATAGCGCTTTTCTGGACACACAAAGACGCTTTTTACAGAGCATTTTTCATTCACTCCACATTTGGTGGTGGTAAACTACTATTGCCCAGTCTGTCCCATCAGTCCCTCCGACCACCATCACTCACACACACACACACACACCACTTCCCACTTTCATACTGGGCAATGTAGGTGAAGTGCCTTGCCTAAGGATACAACGATTTTTTTTTTATTTTTTTTTACGACCTGATTTCCCCAGTGGTCTCCCATTCGAGTACTAACCAACTGGCCTTGTTTAGGTTCTGAGTTCTGACAGGATCAGGCTTTGACAAACTGTATGACCACATGCTATTAGTATTTAGGAATTTTAGTTTTTTCATTTTTTTTAAAGCTCAACAGAAGAAATCAGAAAGCACAGAGTTGTATATGTAGTAGTTTTCTTAAGACAGTACTATGAATTAATGTTGAAAATCACATTCTGTTGTCTAAAGAAAGTGTTTTGTTTATCATTGTTCAAGTCTGTTTCTTACTATCAAAATGGAGAAGTTTTAGTACCGTAACCTTTCTTTGTTTTTGTTGTTTTTACTCCAAACCTGACCTAAGTGAAGGATGGATCTTGCGTGATGACATCCTTTTACCTTTTACCTGCTCTGCCCGTGAATGTGACATTGAAGGAAGCAGCTGTTTGTGTTGCCAGATTAAGACTCGCTTTGAGGCAAGTCTCTCCTGAGAAACAAGAGTGTCGTTTTAAAGAGACCGGCTTCTGATGCAAACTCTGGACCTATTTTATCTATCAGCTTTATCTGATTTCAGGTTGCATACTTCAGAAATGTGTAGTCGTACTTAAAGCTGCCTGCAATGTTCCACAGTGTGACATTAAACAAATCTACTTTACTTTTATTCAATTACAGGTGGGTTTATAGCTCAAAAATGCCTAGAAAAACAACATTCTGGCTGTTAGTGGGGTCGCCTCTCCACAGATCTGACCTCTAACTTCTGGTTTAATCTCCTTGAAGATAGAAAGGTTTAATGCCATACTGTGAAACATTCCAGACAAAGCAATAACATCTCCATAGAGAAAGCAGCAAGGCCGTCTTCAGTTTGTGCCGGACATACACTGCGATCGTTTCACTCAGCCCCGGCTCAAAACGTACGACAAAATCACAAAGTTCACAGCTCACGATTCATGTTCACTGTGCGATCCGATGTTCGGTGTGAAATCCTCACGAGAGGCGACGATTTC